TTGAAATAAAAGGGCGGTAAGAATTTCATGACGTCAATTTGAAATAAAACAATTCAACTGCATGAAGAAGTTAAATACAAAAAAGTAATAGATTATATTTTAACAAGCTTGAGTTACTAAAGCGGAGCACGTAGTGACCACTGATCCGAAACGAGGGGGTCCATGGGAACATATTATGGACCCCATAAATAATTGGAACCCCATAAAATAGTAATAAGTATTCATTAAAGACAGAGCACTGTATAATGCTTCGATGAACACTGTTAGTTGTAGAGAAATGTAAGAAAAACTTATGTTTATATCAACGCAATAGTAAACTAACCTAACTAATATAATATTATTAAATAATTATACTAGTTTGAGGTAACATACTTATTGCATATACAATCTTCTTCTTCTAATCCTAGTTTCGAGACAATTTATTTTAATTCTGTGATTAATCCTGAACAAAATGTGATTCCATTTAGTGTTTTCAAAATTAGTGAGTCTAACATATGCTAATATGCAGAAACAGAAGCCATTCTTAGGCGACATTATCTAACGTAGCACACATCAAAAAGTTATACACTTACTCGGAATTTATGAATGCAACATTTGTATTATATATTTTCACTTGGAATTCTTGTGCTCAGACTTGTTTTTAACACTAGCTGTAATGCTATTGTTTAATCACAAGATCCACAAATGAAATCGAAACGAAATCATGTCATGTTGTATTACAATGAAAAAATTGGATGAGCGAGGCAACAGATGCTTTGCACGCGACCGTATTGTGGCTAACGATAGATTCAATGCTAATTCTACTGATAACAGTAGCATAACTTATGTGTAGTTAGTAAACTGCAGCGCAGTTTTTAGATATTAGCAGTACTTGTTATTAATTATGTCAACTCATTATGATAAGCTAAATGCTTATCCTCATATTCCGCAAATGATTTTGATATCTATTGTCAACATTATAAGCTTTAAAATTAATGGAATGATAGGTTATTATAATTTAAGTGGTTGTAGGTAAGGTTTGAATTTCAGCTTCTTTGTTCAGTATGGAAATTTTGATAATAGAATACCTTTTATTTAAGTTGAGCATTAAAAATCAACATTGGCAATTAATATTAAACATAGCTGCTGTTTAGTAAAAAAAAGTGTCGAGCCGATTTCAGACATGCTAATAATGGTTGCAATGATTGAATGACCTTACTTCACTCCCTGTGCTCACCCATGTGTGTGAAAAATATACTAAACTACACACACAAGACCTAAAATATAAAAAGATGGAGATTACGATTGCACTTTTTAATTTTAGGTTATTTGTTTATTGCTAGGCAAAGAGAATAATATACAACCATGGCAGCGGTATTATTTCTTGTGTTGTTCATGTCATGGGTGTTAGATCTTTCAATGGTTTTTTTTTCTTTCAGAGTCATACGTAACGTAACATAACATTAATCTGGTATTTTAATTAAAGAGCTTTAAACGATTATTGCGGTTAAAAAAGGAAAAATATTTCTTATTTTCATTACAATTTCTTTGATTATTCCAACCTTTCTATTCCTTGGTATAATTTCAAAACAGACCAATAAATATCAAATCTACAACTGCTTACCATCTTGTTACTTTAATAAAAAGGTACGTATTAATGAAACTTTTTGCTTGTTTTGCAGTACTTATATTGTGACTCATAATTAGAATTGGATGTTTTCTTTTCATTAAGGTACAATTTTGTATTGTTTGTAATATGAAATTACAGACTAGCAAGAAAATGTGACAAAGTACTTATTGTACATACTAGTTTGTATAGACTTAATAAGCAGTAGTAGTATGTTTCGTCCATTGGGACAGCCGAAAGAATTTATTCCTACTGCTAAATCTTGTAGACTTAATACGTCTATGTGCATATATATAAAATAATAAACCTTATTGTGACATCTTGAAAGTTGATTTCAAATATAGTTTTGTTCTTTTCTTCGATTAATCTTATAGAACGTTTAAATTAAATTCTATGTTATTAAAATAACAAATATTAAGTTATTAATAAAAAAAAGATGCATGATTATTTTTAATAAAAATTTACACCAATTAGTTGGCCTTAAAGATGATTATTAAAGACACGAGTAATCAACACGAAGAAACGGGGAAAAAATAAAACAAAGCGTTTTGACCCGACCTTTGCCGGCGCCGGCACATATCGAGAGAAAACGAGACACAACTAATCATTTCTATGCTGAATGAAAAGGACAAAACATTGGAGTAATTAACACAAAGCCGTTGCCGAAAACCTATACCTTTTTTTGGTTCCAATTCTTCGGCTCATTTATTTTAATGTCCAAACTTTTCTCGAGTTTGTTCTCTGAGAAATTTGTGTTCTAAATCATAGCAGTTCTGTTTTGTTATACATTAGTGAATCTTATTACTGGGAAATTAGGTAGATATTCTATCCAAAACATATTTTTGTTGTAATAAGTTTTTCTAAATGTGTTACATTGTTATAAGCTCGTTGAGACCACCAATCTTTTCTACGTGTTTATTTAAAACGAAGATGATTGTTAGATGTTAATAATATTGGTTCATATCTAGATTATTATATACTCCTTATCTAGATAGAGAATAAAAATGTGCTTCTACCACTTCTAGTTTTAAATTAATTGCAGATGGAATATTATGTATTTAAGTCTAAACATATAGTTGGTCATACAGTGCAATAAAGGTTCCTAATTTAAAATTCATGAAAAAAGGATTTATATGTCTGTATGCCAAACATTTATTGTATTATTTTTGTATAATAAATGTTCCATCCATCCAGCAAAATATCTAAAAGTCTTCAATTACCTTATAAAGTGCGATTTGAAATTCAGATACACGTATCGATATAAAATGTCACACAAATTCTGTAGCGGCATCGTCTGATGCATCATTGGTTCAATTGACCGTGTCCGAGTTAAATTGTTTTAAAGAAAACCCACAGAGGGTGACCTCTGGTGACCTCGTGGGAGAGGACAGTGAAACGGGTTGAAGTAAATTTAAAAATCGAACTGTAGCCCGAAGAGAAGAGAGACGAGAAGAGACTGAATGGTCTTTTATTTTTCTATCGGGAAACTGTTCAAATAGTTTCATATCAAAAGAGGCTGTATTTACTTTTATAATTGGGAAAATTATTAAAAATAAATGTGTCAAAAATTATTAAAAAAATAAAAAGAAGTATGTCATCTTTGATAAATGATATGACGGGAGTTTTTTAACGCATCATTGAGTTTGTATCAATGGATAAAGCAGTTTATTTTCAATATAGCTCTATTGTAACGTCGATGATTATGTAATAGACTTATTATAAAACAATTCGAAGTTTTCACCTTAGATAGCTAATGAAATAACAAATATAAAACAATACATTCATAAATTTTGACAATTTAAGATTTCCGATTTAATTGTTAACTTTAATATTTATATAATAGCTAAAAGTGTTATGTACATTATGTATTACTCAGAATTCCCAAAGGAAAAAAAAGTCAGTTTTGGTCTTCAGACAGCCATTTTTTTAAAGAGAATTAAAAAAAAATGGCTAACTCGAACTTTTTTAAATTTTAAAGTAGCCGAACCTTGCATTTTCAAAGTATGACTTTTGAGATGCTAACTTATGACGTATTTCAGTTATCTGAGTTGTCTGTAAGTTGAAGTAATAATCAGTTTTAATATTGTTACAACGGAAAAACAACCTTAATTTTTCATAACGTTTAACTGAATATCAATCGTAGGGTGGTTGACAATATTTTGGCCGATAGTCGCAAGCTAATTTTAAAAGTACCTTTCGCGCTTATGGTAGACCATATATTTAGTCGGTACAATCGAGCACTTTTGGCACATATCAAGAATCAGTATTTAACATATTTACATGTATTAATATCATAAACAGAGATTTTAAATTGATACCTATGTATTATATTTGTTATTGAAGGTTTTATGTATGTGGAGGGTAGTGTATCGAACCACGGCTCTATAAGAAACCTTTTTAACTTTCTAGACCCTGGGCACTAAACAAGTGAAGATCCACTTCACGCGTACATACTAATTAATAATTCACAATGTTTATTATTCGAACATATTTATTTATTAAGAAAATATTAACACTAATCGGCACGCAAGCATGATTTTAAAATTAATCAAGATGTCAGCAGTTTTGGACTAACTTTATTTATAGTTATGGAAAGTTTATGCATCGCTGAACACAGCTTACAGTTCAATAATATTGACATCGATGTGCATTGACGGTGAACATATTTATGGGGTATTGATAGTGAAGCTCATTATTTTGATAACAATTAGAGTGCGCTCGTGAATTGAATTATTTAATTATTGTTCTTGGATGTGCTAATTTGTTCAAAATTATTTGATATGTTTTTTAACGAAAGAAAGAAATCCATTGCTAGGTGTAGACAGATATAGGAAAAACTAAGTAACTAAGAAAGAGAAGAATGTAGAGAAAGAGTTTGATTGAAAAGAAAGCTAAAGAATCTAAGTTTACTATTAATCACATAATTCTTTATTCAGAAGCGTAATTAATAATATGATCATTATTTGTTTAAATATCAGACATAAAATACGTTGATGTATCAGTTTCACAAAAAATCAGCAATTTTTGAAAACATTCTTAATTTTGTATAACTTGATATGTTGTTGGTTGTCCCACATTATCTTCGTTGTCTTTACAGATAAATTAATTTTGAAATTCCGTCCACCGAATGAGTTTTGGTATAAATTATTTGAATTAAGTTCATCACAATTCGTGAATTTGTAAACAATAATAATTAATTATTTAAGTCCCTAATTAATGTTTTTCATTTATTGTTCCAGGCTGAAACAGCGGCAAGATACCATCTGTGCGGGAATCCCTCAAAATTACACGAATCCAATCCCCTGGCAACAAACCCACCACACTGAGTTTCTCAGATCCTTTTGGGCCTCCCCAGTCCTCGGACGGGGGGGGCCCATCGACCCCCCAACCTGCGATGACTACCCAGGACGCTTTAGATCACCAACATCACCACTTAGGCGGCTCACAAACGCCACATGACATCTCAAACTCTGCAAACTCAACTCCAACTAACGTATCCTCGAAATCAGCCTTCATAGAATTACAGCAGCACGGTTATGGTCCTTTCAAAGGGGGGTATCAGCACCCCCATCATTTCGGTAGCCCGGGGGGTCAGCAGAATCCCCATGAGGCATCAGGGTTTCCAAGTCCTAGGTCATTAGGGTATCCCTTCCCTCCTATGCACCAAAACACCTATGGCTATCATTTAGGATCCTATGCCCCCCAATGCGCCAGTCCGCCTAAAGATGGTAAGTTGTTATTGTTTGTAATTATTTTTCATTAAAATACTATACATATTTGTCTTGAAAAATGTTCACAAGCTGCAGAGGTCACAAGTATCTAAAAAATTTTGTAGGTAGTCTCGACAAAGCATCCTTTGTTATTTTGGATTAGTGCAAGAACCCATATGATATCTGCTGCGCTTTTTATTTAATAAAATCAGCGAACTAGAAGTCGCTAAATAAAACCTATTTCAAAATGTAATAAAGGTTTTATTTCATTACAGCTCTAAAGCTGTTTTTGACATCGAGTTCGAGATTACTTTTGTTATAGAAAAAGACGTGACTAAATTATTTCTATAGTAATCTCTTAAGCTCGAGTTGGCTATTTATGACTTTTTCTTCTTTCAAGAAATTAATTTCAAACTCATGTAAAAGTACAAAAATTATTTTATTGTTGTAAAGTACAATGATATCATTGATACCAAGAGTTGGTTAAACAGAAAACATTTAAATCTAAAAGCACTGAAATTTATTAATAAAACGTTTGATTGTAACATCTGTTTATAACTACATGCTATTGTCTACATTTCGAATAAGAAAAAAAAACATCTACACCAATTTCTCAATTGTCCAAAGTAGGTAATAATTTGTGTAACACCCAATTTGCTTACGAAATGATACAACACTATATATTTTTTCCGTCGCTTACTTTCAGTTTTTTTTATAACCCGAAATTACCGCGAAGGTGCCATGATCGGATGTTATTATGAATTATCGAACTATCTTATTAGGTGTTCGAAGGCATAGAACTTCGGTCACTTAAAAAAGAACAAATTTTCTTTTTAATATTTTAGTAGAGATACGATAGAAACTATTTTCTTTTTGTCATTTACACATTATAATACGATCTTTTTGTATTTAATATCCGGTAGTTTCTAGAACCAAGTGTCAATCATACTTAGTGGTGATATATTTTTTTTTGTAAATTTACGCACGGTCTTGAAATTGTAGAATCAAACAAATTTATTTATATATCATGCTTTATTTTGGCAAGTGGAAAAAGGGAGTATCATTAGTAACCGACTTTTGTTACGTAAATCTTAGTAGGTATGCATTGTCAAAATTATGTTAAAACAGAGTTGACACTAATGAAAAGGTAAAGCAATGAAACAAGGAATTTATACTAAACATAGCATTACCAACTATCCAGAACAAAGTAAAATCGCTTGCTTTTCAAGTATTAAAAAGGACCCGTTGTCGAATAATTACCATAGAGCCGTAAATAGCAATCACTAAGAATCGCGTTGTGTAAAAGTACACCTAATCGACGTCAAAACACTATCAGTGGACATATAACTCAGACTAACATTTATTATTTAACATAGTCTCCACTGGCACTACAATTTAGTAAGTACGGTGAATTTTTTAACACGCGCCAACCGACGTTTGACACATTAAACTTTTACAATACGATACCGTGAAACGAAACGCTACGGATTCAGAATTTGAATGGCGAATGACAATCGTTGAATAATATGAATGCAAAATGGTTTCAAATACGAAAATTAATCCGGGTTTTATCTGTTTGCATTTACCATACAAATAATGTATTAATTCCGAAGTGTTTTTTTTTATGAACCAGAATCTCGTACGCACGCTACATATGAAAACTCAATGACCTTCTAAATCTAGGGAAAGTCGTGAAATCAAGAAATATTTGGGAAGCAAGATCTCGCAATGGAAAATCGACCTTGCTATTTTACCGTCTGCCGAGGAAAAACGATGTCGGAAGCCGTTAATTTTAACGCTCAGTTTCCTTTGCATGTTATTTTTCGGCTCGTAAAAAAGTTATCGGTACTTGTTTCTTTTTTCTATGCTCGCGTGCATTATGTCTGTCTGATTTGTAGGCCACACTTAAAGTTATAGAGAACCGTCTCGCTACTATTCATTTAGTGAATTAAAATAAATAATAATATTAAATTTATATAATAAATAATAAATTTCATTTGATATTGTTTCTTAGATGCCTAGCTTAGAAAATAATTACATAGGTATTTCACACAGTTTTCAGCAATGATTGGAATAATTATTATAAATAAATAATAATAATAATATTAGACAACATCAAATACATTGCTTATATTTCAAGATGAGTAGCTAAAGTTTCCTCATTATACAATATCTGAGGCAACGAAAGTACGACAACACCCAGACAATAAATAAAAGTAAACTTTCTACATTGAACCGACCGTGAATCGAACCCGGGACTCTAATTGTAATGTATATGAATAGGTATAATTCATTAGATGCATATTATGCTGTTAACCTAATCTGATCCAAGTTCAAAGGTTGATTTTTTTATGATTTTACATGTAACATACAACTCTTAGGAAATAGGATATTTTGAACTTTTTATAAAGACGAAAATTAATTTTTATATTCTTGTAATAAGATAATGTTGAAATAATTATGTATATCGAATTTTAGCTATTTTTATAGAAATAACCAGTTATAAAAAAACAGTATTATTTATAACAGTTTTCAACAAAACGTTACATAATTATCAAAAAAAAATATAACGAGCGAACCAAACTATTTATGATTATGACAAATTGACGTTATTCGTTATGTTATTATTGCGTTAACACTAATTTTAACTGCCCGCCTGTTCAAATAATGTAATTTGGTTATAAATTAGAGTTATGACTTACTAGGTATGTCCATGTTAATTTGAGATTCATTTTGTATAGAAATCCATGTAGATGAGAGGTCAACGTATAATGTGTGACTTTTATAGCGACGTTTGACACCAAACGGTGTTATTTGTGATTTTTGTTTGTTAACAAATAAAAACTACTTGATTTAATGATCCTCTTTTAATATATTAACCAATCAAAATAATTTACAAAATATTAGAACCTGCTACTTAAATTACGTTTTCGCCATATTAATACATATTTTAAGAGGTACATTTATAAATATTGATATTTAAAAGATCTTTATTGTTAATTTATTATTCTTTAAAATTTCTTTTTTCTTTTTGTTCTACTTATGGTTTCCAAATTAATGTTCGTAACGATTCAAATTTTTCATTATAGGAATAGAAAATAAATAAAATCAAAACTTTTAAATAATTAAAATGCGAACGAATTATCTTCTAATGAACATGTTTTGAAAAACTCGCTATAGATGTTCCATGTAATTGTAAGTACAATGACTAGTTTTTTTTAGCTGAACTAACTATAAGGCATGTACGTAGAGACAGCTATAATAGAAAATTCTCGCTAATTATATTATCATTATGTTCTTTCTTCCCTAACACCCATTTTTACTTCGCTATGACCAAAATAACAATAAATGACCAAAATAAGTCTATAAATCGGGTTGTTGGTAGGTGCCATGGGTTCTAATGAACCCGTAATCAATCGTCCAAACCATGATGTAGGGTGAGCCAATAGTTTTTTGGTCATAAAAGTTTAGATCAACAAATCTCTATGTTATTCACTATATTGAATAGTGACCTATTTTATGGAAATGATAATAAAATTAATTTCGTGCACTGACTTTTACGATTTACGCGGGAAGCATATGATTTTTTTTATTTCCTTCTAACTATGGAATTTGTTATTTTTTATTTTACTCATTTTTATTGTTGTTATTGAATAAATCTGTTAAAGAAATAAATAATAAACCCAAATCTGTCCAAATATAGTCCTGATCAATCAGGGATTCAGTTATGCTATAGAGCTGCAGGAAGAGTTTACTTGACCTTTGATCTTACCTTTAACCAATCTTCTAATCTTCCAACAAGTGATACTCAAAAACCTTCCAAAATAAATTATAGCTGTATATACACAACCACCTTTACACCACTAGGTCGCTATATAAAAACGTAGTTTGCGTGACTGTTCGTTTGCAACACTGAACCAAGGTAAATGTGACTCGAATGGAAATCTCGTTGCAATATCAACTTTAATAAGGCGACAATAAAGATGTTTATTGTGATTTCGTAAATTGCTCCTCGACCTTTTAAGTATTAAAGGTCAGATAAATCGACACAGTACCTATCTTTGCTTCTCATATATAAAGATATAATATCTATTTTTATTTTTTTATAATTTTTTATATAAATATCATTTGTCAATCTCCAATTATCCCCACACTTAATGTAGTAACTATTAAATTATTGTATTATATTTTAAAGTAAAAGAATAGTGTTACCATCTCTTTATTTCCAAGTCTGTAATAAAATAACCTATAAATCTTACATCTGGCTAAGTTCATGTTACAATATCGTTTGATGTAATACAAACCATTAATTGTTTAATAACTGTTTTGATATAAACTGTGGGCGCAGACGGCATTTTGTTGTTTAACTCAATTCGATCGTTTATTTTTTACTTTTTGTTCGGTCGCTATAAATAGACGCAATAAGGAGTTATTGCAGTGTGTGGCAATTTGTCAATCTTCAGTGATCGTAGACACAATGTTTTTTGAATATCTGATAGGTAATATATCGAGATTCTCTTATTTTATGCTGAAACAGCTAAGCTTCATTTAATCGGCTTCACTGATTTACCGCCGAAAGATACATATTTTTTTTTAGGTTTTAGAGTTTTTTAAACAGCCTTTGATTATTTCCTATATTTTTTAATTATTAAATAAGGCTCCACCCACAATAAAAACAAAATTCTCGAAGATGTTTGGTTGAAATGTCATTCTTATATCAAACTAGTGGCCGCCAGCGACTTCGTTCGCGTTTTCCATTATTTCTTCGCTCCTAATAGTTGCAGCGTGATGTTATGTAGCCTAAAGCCTTCTTCGATAAATGGTCTATTCAACACTAAAACAATTTTCAATTCGAACTAGTAGTTCCTGAGATTAGAGCGTTCAAACAAACAAACAATGGTTTATTTTGATTTAAAAAAATTATTGGAATATCTATGAAACACAAGCCAGATATAATTTAAATGTCATAAATTTATTAAAAGCGTAGACAAATGGGATCATTGGTTATATTATCAAAG